GATACAGCTGCAATTTGAAAGTGCTTCAAAATACAAAACATTTGACTAGTGCTTGTAGCTCTCAGTCATATTGTAGGTATCTTTTTACCTCCTCTTTATTCGTTTAACAGTTCCTTGACCTAGACAACAATTTTTCATAATTAATTTTATTAAACTGATGCAGATTCATGCCATAGATGACCAACAACCCACAGTTATCTGTTAAAGTCTCTGTGGAGCTTCAAGGCAATCCCTGTTTGAGCCATCTAAACAATTTCAAAACTGCTTCTTGAAGAAAAAATAAATAAAAATTGGGCCCAAACAAAGTACCTTTGAGGTCCACTTGCTGAAGTTTGTATAATTGCTTGCAATTATTCTCTATCACCCTTCCCAGTAAGAGGATTATCCAACCCCATCCATTTCCATGTGACTAACTAGTGCTTCTTGTGGAAGGAGAAGGGTGCCCAGCCTCATTGACTTTGGGCTTGGCCATGTAACATTTTGACCAATGGAATGTGGATTGATATGACATACACCATGCCCAAGCAGAACTTTTAGAGCACCATGAGTTCCCTCAGCTCTATTGCTTTTTCCCTCTGCTTCAAGAATAGGCAAGTCCCCCACAGGGGCTGCTTCCTCAATCTGTGGCCCTGTATGAGAAGACATATGGAGCAGAGCCACTGCTACCCCCGATATGTAGCGTGCATGAGAAATAAACTCTTGTTCATAAGCTAGTGGGATTCGGTTATTGGTAGCTACTACCTCAAAGCTGATTGATACATCAGTGAAATCATAAGAAACAAAGATAAAAATAAAAGCCAGAGTTTTTTATTTTTGTAATATTAATTTTGTATTATCAACATATGTTTCTATAGCATATGATACTGCTTTCAATTAACTTCTACAAATACTTGCATTTCTGTTTGCTTTGAGCATAGGCTAGGAACACATAGCTTACAATAATAATGACATTAATTAGCATTTTTGACTGCTTACTATGTGACAAGCATGGTTATAAGAACTTGTGCACAGGTCATCTCATTTCTTCTTTATAACAGCCCTACAAAGAATCATTTTTATCTCCATTGTTTACATAAGAGAAGTGATATATAAAATGGTTAAGTAACTTTTCCTAGGTCACACAATAACAAGTGATGGAATTAGAATTGTACAGGCTGGTTATAATCAGGTCATGAAGGGAATTAGAAGGGTACAATAGATCGGCAAAGCAAGGTATGTGACCCATACACTGACCCTTCAAGAAATCTGAGTATTTGCCATAACACAATCCCCTCTTGAACCAACTACAAGTGTTTCCTACACATAGGTCTCCCAGTTCTATTCCACATGACTCTACCACCCCGACTGTTGATAACTGGACAAAACATGAGTTCCTCACCCAATGCAGCCACCTTCACCACACTGTTTTCAGCCAGGATCTGTGCCTGATTTGAGAGTAGTGATCTAAACATTTGCTAGCAGCATACAAGGCAACCTGGGTTGAGAGTTCTGTTCAATAGGATTAACCTGAGCTGGATATTGACTAACTGAGCTCATCACATCATCTCTCTTGCAGAGTTGGGATGTGAGATGGTCAAAGGGAAACACAGGCAGAATGATGAAGAGAAATATCATGAGAGATGGAAGACTCTTTGGGGGGGCTGTTGGTTAAATTCCCATTTGTGAAACAAAAGATCTCCTAAAGTGCACCAAAATTCCACCACTTGCATTTTTTTCTTTTCTAATGGCATGGAGAACATATAAGAGTAGCAAACATTACCATTTTCATTAAGCAAGCTTCCCAGAAATTATACACATTTCAACACATAAAACTCACATTCACAAAATGCTTTGAAAGTTCACAAACTATTCCTCCTTACCAGCTTAATGTTCTGTCAAGAAAGAAAAGAAATCTGCCCATTTAATCATCTCTCAATAATATGAAATCTTTATGACTGAACATTACCATTACCATGGCAAGTGCTCAGCATTGTTGCCACAGGAGAGCTAACATAAAGGATAAGAGTATCTCCCCTCTTTGAGGTAGCAACCAACCAACTTGTGCCCACAGAGCCTGGATATGTGTTTTGGGGAAATGCTTTGTATCCATCCCCAAAAGCCAATGAAATGGAGATTCAGTTCTAGTAAGTTGTCTTATTGGTTTTACCATAAAGAAGCAAAAGATCAGTATCCATAATACTTGTGTACCACTTAGCATTGTTTTTGGTGGTACAGGACAGAGAAAACAGAATAATACTCCTTCGCCTCTCTCCATAACTTAGTATCTCAAAAATGCCATCAAAGTAGACAGAAATCATCCCTAATCTTGACAGGGACCTAAACCGGAAGTATGAAGAAGTCCTCAGACAGTAGGAAGGGCAGCTGAAGTAGTGACAGTGGATAGCTGACCAAATTGGCAGCACTGTAATAGAGAAATTCTTAAGAGATCAACACATCTAGACAACTAGAACTAAAGATTTGTCCTAGATAAGTGTCTTAGTTTGGATTCCCCCAAAACCAAAACAAGGATTTGAATGAAAGCAGTTTATATGAGAGGTGATCCCAAGACACAGTGGTAAAAGGAGGGATCACATGAGATAAGGAAGGAAGGACACAAATACAGGGTACATTATTGATCAAATTACCTCTATAGGCAAGTCATTGGAAAAATCAAACACATAACACAAGGAATTTCAAAACTATTCCTACAGTAATGGTTCCTGGTGTATAGTCCCTGACTCCCTGAGACAGTTACTAGAACTCCCAACAAGCTTTTCCCCTGAAATTATATCCTGAATGTCATATTTAACATACTATCTTTCATCATTCCTTCATTCACCCATTTATTAAACAACAACAATCCCACAAGGTCAATTTTAGACGTAATTAAAGTTGGACGATAACTCAAGTGGACAATTTTCATTTGCAAATTCTGCAACATGGTGACCCAGTTCACTAGTATTCTTTTCTATCTCTTCTGGGTGTTTTTTCATAATGACTGACCTTTAGAAGTTTCATAGTAGGATAAAAAAATAAATTCACTGAAAGACATTATGCGACAAGAGGGAACATAGAGACCTGAAATTTAAGAGAGCTCAGTTTTATTTCAATACTTCTTCCTAATAATGAGTAAACTTGAACCAATCAGTTAAGCTTCTTAGGCCTCAATTTCCTCAAATGTACAATTACCTGCTCAATTAGAGGATGCCAATTAAGTTGTCCTATAATCTTGTATGCAATAATAAAAGCAGTACAGAGTGCTTTAAGATTATTCAAAGAGATATTCTTTAAAATTTTTCAGCAGACAAGGGACAGACTTCTAAGAATCCATTATAAAGATTGATCTAGAGTATCATTTACACAGTGAGAAAGCCAGGACCACTTCAGTAATCTAAGGGTGAAAGAAGGGCCCAACATGGAGATTGTCAGTAGATATTAAAAGATAGAGGGGAATGATGGATTTGTTAAAGGAAAAATGTTTGTGATGTCAAATGAAGCAGAGGGTCAAAAGTCACAATGTCATTTGTTTTGGTGTCTGGGAAGATGATCATGACATTGGCTGAATGCCCAAACACTCACACCAAATACCCAGCCACCAATCCTTCTTGGTCCCAGTTATCCTCTGAGTCTTCACCAAAACAGATGAGATGCAACATGGATAAACTTCAAAGAGAGAGTTAAACGCACTTGTCAGGTTAAAGACATTCCCTTCGAAAAATATAAATAGGGGCTGGCCTCGTGGCCTAGTGGTTAAGTTTGGTGTGCTCTGCTTCAGCAGGCCAGGTTCAGTTCCCAGGCATGGACCTACACCACTTGTCAGCAGCCATGCTGTGGCGGCATCCCACATGCAAAATAGAGGAAGACTGGCACAGTTGTTAGCTCAGGGTGAATCTTCCTCAAGCAAAATGAGGAAGATAGGCAACAGATGTTAGCTCAGGGAGAATCTTCCTCTGTAAAAAATAAATAAATAAAAGACATCACTTTCCTTCAACTTAAAAATAGAATATTAAAGATGCATCTAGAATGATGTCCAACACCTGATAGGCACTCAATATTCTCAGTATTTGTTGAGCGAACCAAGCCCACTCTGTAGTCTTCTCTGAAAGAGAACCAGGAATGTCCTGAGAAGCTCTGTAGATGATCTTGCAAAATAGTATATTCTGCAGTACACCATGTCTACAACACCCACCAAATCACCCCTGGCAAACCTGCTTTACCAAAATGTCATCGTCTCGCTACCATTACCAGTTTAAGAGAAAGAAGAAAAATAACATCTTCCTATTACCTGAACTTTAAAACTTTCTGACACATGCTAAGAGAGTAATGATTTATTCATAGCAAAACTGTAGAGCTAAGAACTAAACTTCAGCTTGGGAGGATGAAAACAGCAGGATCCTTTAAAAAGAAAAATACTGTCTTTCAGCAAGAGCTGTAGCTGACTTTTAACTATTTGGGACAAATTTTCCTCTCTTTATGAGAGGGAGAGGGAAATTTTCAGTAAGAGAAAATAATAGCTATGCCAAGTTATATTTTTATATTCTTCCCCCTAAAAGCCAATGGAAGAAAATAGCCCTTTCCATCATCTGAATCTTCAAAACCCAAGCTCCAGATATTGCCCTAAAATACCCATTTATCCTTTCTTTTCTTGCCTTGCTGTCTACTCACATCATGGCACTGATTACAACCAACTATTTAGCTCCACTTATTCCTAAAGAAACAACAGGGGAAAGTAGAACTAATATCTTACATTTTTTCCCAGTGAAGTTATCTTCCAAAAGTTCTGATATTTGCCACCTTATTAATACTTAATAAGATCATTAAATATTTGGACAAAAATACGTAACGTCATGTTTCTCCTCATCTGCTTATCCTTACTACCACACACTTGCCCCAGTACAGAGTAAATGTGGAAATTGGTAGCATTACGTACAACATGCATAATAAATCTTGGAAATTTCCTTTAAATATTTTGCCATACTAAAAACTTCAAAAAGCCCTTTGATTGAAACATTTGGATAAATGCTCAGATGTCAATACATCTCCTAAGAGCATTAGAAAGCGGTCCTTGTTAATACTCTTACTTACACTGTTAAAGGAGAATCTTACTTCCTGAGAACCAGACTAAATCATCGTGTTTTTCACTTCACCTTGCTTAAATAAACAGAGCTGCCAAAATCTGATGGATCTTTCATAACGCCAGTACTAAAAAGCTTAGTATAAGCATGTGAAAATTCAAAATTTTCAGGCTTCCCTTAAAAAGTAGGTTTGGCCTTTGTTCTTGTCTTCCTCAATAACTTGGATCTGAATGCTGCATTATTTTCCAGCTACAACCTAAGAATGGTTTACATTATCAAAAAACTTTACCTATGGGAGAAATAGACAGCACAAGCAAACTATATTTGTGGAAAAGTGGACTCCTGATTAAATAAAAACAGATCTTAAAAAGAGGATGTAGAAGCCTGGGATTTTGAGAAAGGATCAGAGGGACTATCACGAAGAGTTTAAATATGGGACACAGATGAAGACGTAAATAAGTTACGGCGATAATTTGTCAAGAGTTCCAGCTGTCGATCTTCACCAGATGAATCTTCTCCAATTACTGGCGGGAGTATTTGACCCACCAGGCGACTTCCCTGAGTTGAACCACTTTTCTAATGATTCTAACTGTGGACAGTCCAAGTTGGCCATATGAGAATTTGAACACGGCGGTGATTTCTGAACAGTGTAGATCATGTCCATGTGTCTGGCTGGACTTGTTTGCCCTGTGTCCATTCCTTCAGCCTAATTGATTGTGACTCAAGTGGTATTCTTTTGAAAGGTAAGCCAGCCGACAATTTCAATCTGTTGTGAACTTCAATTAGGTTGCATGATGTTAAGACTAAATTTGGAGTCTTTAAGTTATAGATTATTTTTCACATTCTCCTCATTTTATGCTTTATTATTTAACTGAATTATAGATAGCATTTTCTAAATAAAATATGATTTGTGTAATTTAAATTTTTAGTCCAATTAATTGTGCTCACCAGGCCTAAAGCAATCATTCCTCAACTCCTAGATTTGTACTTTCAGGTAGAAAAAAGTGTATTTCCTTGTTTTTATTTTAATTTTAGTTTCTTTTCAAAATTAAATAATATCTGTTGAGCACAAGTTCAAGATAAAGGGGACTAGATGAAAAATTATCACACATATAGTACAACCCCTGCATTTTTAGCTATACTGTTTAAAATACATGAATAAATAAATGACCATTGGACCTAAACTATTCAACTCAATGTAACTGTATTCATGAAAAGAATCATGAACAGGGTTTGGACTCAATTGTCTATGATGAAAAAATATGAGAAGGCAATGCTTCAGTATAGCAAAAATTAGAAAATCAGTGTACCAAATAGCTTGCTATCTTTCTCTTTTACTCATCACAGAATTCTATGCAGTGAATACATCCAAAACCCAATATTGTCTTAAAGTGACTATGTCTGAAACTCAATATTGTTTTAAAGTAGGTTTGTTTATTTCAAAAACATCAGTAATCAGAGTGTATTTCTGGGACATTTCATCTACTTTAATGAACGTTTTCAAAGAGTAACCAGACTAGGCTAATTTTGAGTCATTTATCTGGAACCAATATGCCAACAGAGTGATATAAAATAAAATGATTTAGCCTATCATTACAAAAATTGAAACAATTTACACAAGGGAAATTATAAGACTTAAATAGTAAATGTTTCCCAACTTAACATGTTATAATTCCTCTAGCAAAGCATCTTTCACTAGAACAAAAACCCCCCATGACTGTTTTCTTCATTTTCTTCAAAACAAATGCACTCACTTAAAACTATACAGTCTAATAAAAGATTCATGCATGGATTTGACCTTTAAAATTCAAGAAAATGTCCCACTATTCTCTCACTGATCAGTTTTCAAGTATTCCAAATTCCATATTATAATTTTGCCTGAACCAATATTGATCCAAAGTATGTTTAATGGCACAATTTCTATGTAGAAATATAGAAACTCTGCAGATTTAAAAACTCTAAGTCCTATGTTTGATGCCACCATATCTCCTCTATAAATGGAAAGACCTTCCAGGAAGTTTCTTGCCAATATAACCTCTGCTACAGTGTTCATTTATTTTCTGCATCTTAGTCTGAAGAGAACAAATAGTAGCTTGATTTAAAGAGTTCCCTGCATCCTCTTAGGAACTGTAGAATGCCTCAGTAATTTAGTGTATGCAGCCAATTAATGCCTATATTTCTTGACATCAGTATTTCTAGACATTAATTACAATGCATACATCCAATCAAAACCTGAAGATGTAATAACTGCAGATTTGAACCCAGAGTTTATGAAAATCACTGCAAATGCCAGGCTATCAGCTTGGTGATGGTCTTATATCCCATGTAACTTCTTCTCTGTCTGGCTCATAATTAAGTGCACAATAAATACATATTGGATAAATGTATGCATATTTTCCATAACAGATGCACATATTTGAATCCTCATCTCTTAGAAAATAGTTATTCAGAAAGACCAAAAGGAGCCCTCAACCCACGTCTAGATTAGCACACTCCTGGGTTCTGTGATGTCTGACCATGTTTGCTTGACTTGACCCTTTAGAAAAATACAATACATTTTTTCATTTTTTTCTTGAATTAGTATTTTTTCCAATTCAACTCAGCAAGTACTCTTTGAAAATCTACTATGTGTACAACATTTGCTATGGAAATCTCTTGAATATTTTAATTTTTAAATCCCAACACATCAACACAAAATATTTGTTTTAATGATGCAACTGAACCCCAAATTAGGGGGGAAAAAAGCCCTTTATCATTTGTTGATAAGCTCATGGTTGCATCTATAATATCAAGCCAAGAATTGTTAGCTGATTCCCACATTAGAAGTGTCAGACCGAAGGCACAAAAACTGCTTAAGTGCTTCATGAGGCTGCCAAATTGCAAAAAAATGTTCAAGTGGACCAGGGGCAACATTTTAATTCTGCCACCAGTTTCCTGGTAGTGAAGTTTTACGAACTGGAAAGACTTACCAAGAATGTGTATAAAACCATTTTAGGAAATATTTTTCAATAGAAAAGTAACCCTTGTGAGATGGTCTGGGGGTAATCTTACTACTTTAGCCTGAAATATCACTAGCTGTGATTCTAAGATCAGAATGGAAAGAGTAGTTTGCACAAGAGGAATAATTTTATGATTTACTTAGCACTAAGTGGCTGTGCGGGATCTAGTATTAGTATAGACATAACTCAGTCTCTCCTTTGGGTTTGTTTGCAACCCGCAACCCACAGAAGTGGCAGTAACATAATGTAATGAGAATGTCTTTACTGGCTCCTGTCCGGGGCAGAGGCAGGGTAGAGAGAGGCGCTCCATGTTTCCTGTAGTGGATGTGCATCATGTCAGCTCCGAAAAGAACCCAGCCCCTCAAACTGGGGCCAGTGATAGTCAAGCTTTTCAAGGTGCCTCAGAAAGATGAGACATAATTTAAACTAAGACGCTTATGATCTAGAGGAATGTCTGGTCCTTTGCCCTCTCTTGAATCTAGTATTGCTTCCAGACAACTTTAACGCAAACATTTTTAGATCTGTGGGTTATAACAAACTCATGGAAATTCCTAAACAAGACTATCTAAAATTGCCCTTTAAATCTTCCTACGAATACAAAGTGTAATTTGGAGCACCTTTCTTTTATTAAGCAAACATTTTATAGCATTTACTACATGCTAGGCACACTTCTAAAGTACTTCATGAACATTGCCTCCTTTAATAGCCATAAAACCCTATGAGTTGGGTAATATTATTATTATTCCTATTTTACCAATAAAGAAACTAAGGCAAGGAGAGTGATGATGCAACTTGCCCCAGTCATGCTGCCTGGAAGGGGCAGAGCCCAGAGATAAACCCAGATGATCTGGCCCCAGCATCCAGGCTCATCACTGCTCCACCACATGCTCATCATAGGTGGTTCCTTTTTTAATAAAAAGCACTTGAACCTGTATTTGAATTCATATTATGCCATTTCTCAACTGTTTGTCAAATTATTTGCCTTCTCTACCAGTAAAATGGGGATCACGTGGCCAACTCAAATTAAATGGGCAGAAGTAAAGCTAAATTCAGCCTAGGAAGCATGCCACAAGTGGTTGCCACTAGTTTCATCATATCATTGCCAATGGTGATGGCAGGATACCATCACACAAATAAAAATAATAATAGCTCCGATGTGTAGGACCTCTAATAGATTTTTGACCATTCATTCATTATCTCATTTAATCTTTGCAACAAGACTGCAAGGAAAAGATGATTCCCGTTTTACATAGGAAACATATATAAGGCATCAAAATTGAGTAAAAAGCCTAAGACCTCACATCTATAACGTAGTGTGAGAGTTTGTGTGATTTTTTTGAAAGAGAGGGAAAAAAACAAAACAGGGGCAGAAGTGTGAGTGCATTCTGAAATAAACAAATAAATAAACAAGCTACAAAAATTTAATTGTCCTCATTTGACTTCTTTTCCATTGAATTCATATGTATGCTTTATTTCCTAAAATCCATGGGTACATATTTCAGGTCTACCCACAAACATAATATCGACAATGTTCTATTTTTATCTTCCCAAGAGTATTTCTGCTTTAAACTGATGTGTTGGTTTTCTTTTTTTTTTTTTTCAAAATCCTTGAGGAAGATTTAATGTAGTGGAAGTACAGGATGCTAATACATATTGATTTAGACCTTTGACATCACTCATAGAGGAGAAGCTAAAACCTTCTTTCTTTTAAAAACCAATTTACATATTATTTGTGATTGCAAGAGCATGTTGTCTATTACAGGATACAATACATACACTAAGTAATCAAAATATATGCCCAAACATGTCTCCTCAAGCTAGCAAAAATATATGAAAATGGGAGAATTTTTACTAACTTCTCTTTTCCCAGGATAATAATGCTTTGCTTAGGTTCAGCTATTAAAGATTTTATTTACTTAATTATTTTTTTCTAGGAAAAAGGCAAACAAGTGAAACATTTCTCTTAGCTGGTAAATGGTGTATTCCTCCATAAGGCAGAATTAAAGAAATTTTGCATCTGCATTTTGAGCTACATATAAAATAGTTGACATCCATCCCTTCAATGTACAATTAAATGGATCTGTATTATCAAATGAAAATGTATTATTAAGTGAAATAACACATGTAAAGTGCCTACCAGTCTGCCTATCACTTAGAAAGCAATCAATCAATACTGGCTTTCATTTTTAATATTATGCCGTAGTATGCTAATATATTCTTTTTCTGAAGTCTTTATGATCTGCCAGTGTAGACAATATCAAAAGTGCTTAAGTTAAGCAGAAAGGATCTTTACTAAGAGGTTTGTCATTGCGTGTTATCTGCCATTTGAAGAAAGTCTGGTTATGTATTGAACAGCACTTCTGCCAACGTAAAGGTAGAAAGAGAATGCATCAGAAGTGAGATGAAGCTAGTTAAAGTGAGTGCCCACTGCTCTTGATTTTAACAGCACTGTCTGTCCCAAACCAAAAAGTGCAATGTACTGAATGTGCCCCCCCCCAAATTCACGTGTTGAAGCTCTAAGCCCCAATATGATGGTATTAGGAGGTAATTAGGTTGTGAGGGCAAAGCCCTTGTGAGTAGGATTAGTGCCCTCATAAAAGAGACTCCAGAAAGCTCTCTTGCTCTCTTTCCACCATGTGAGAATACAATGCAGAGATAGCTTTCTACAATTTGGAAGAGGGCCTTAGCAGACCTAACCATGCTGGTACCCTTGTCTTGGACTTCTAGCTTCCAGAACTATGAGAAATAAATTTCTGTGGTTTATAAGCCAACCAGACTACGGTACTGTGTTATAGCAGCCTGAACTAAGACAGAGTGGATTGATCCTAAAGACATTGGTGTCTTTGGTCTCCAGAAGGCCTCTCTGTCCATCACTGCATATTTCCGTGGTCCCTGTAAATAGCTTAAAGTAGAAGGGAAGTTGTGTCTTCCACCCGACGAGGCTATGGGGCTCATTGGGGCCTGAGGGTTGGAGCCAGGGCCAAAATGAAGGTCGCTTCTCTTGGGACCTAAAGTATCCACAAAAAGTTAATGGAGAGCTTAGTTCCAGTCCACTTGTAGTTATTTGCTTCAGGATCAGAACTTCACATACTTCTTATGTCTCAAAGCAGCTGTCTTACTGCAGTCTGTCCAAAGCCAGCATGTGAGGAAAGGGCTTAAAATTGAAAGTAAATATTTAAAAATTAAAGAAAGAAAGAAACATGGAATACAAAAATTATAACAAAGAGAAAATTGAAGGAAATTAGAACCAAGCTCTTCTTGACATCTTTCAGGCTGGGGTTTTATCTGTTAGGAGTCGTTTCTCCACTGGCTTTAGTAGTAGCATGGAAAAATAATCTCTAAAGAAGAATAAAGAGCTAGGGTCAGGATTGACTTTTAATCATTTAATTCATATAACCTAACATGTCTAAAAAACAAGCAAGTAAGAATCATAAACTGATGTGTTATTACACTCATGGAAAATAGACCATATCCAGATATTTTTTATAAAAGTGACCTATTTTATAATTATTACATTTGCTTTTGCTTTTCTTTTGCAAAAAAAAAAAAAAAATGAACCATGATGATAGGATTGTGGGAAATAATCAATGTGAGGATGAGGCCAATTGCACAGCATAAATTTTCTCCCTTCCCTACCTAGGCCTTTTTAACAACTCATGAAGAACCAACATATCACAAGATAATATACTACAGCAGAGGACTAAATGTATTTGCTGGCAGCAGAAACACGTGTCTGTTGAACAGTCCCTGAGTAATCCTTAGCATGATGGATCTGAATAAGCCATTATGGCTCCAACTGGTAAATGAGGCATGTCATTACTCTGCATTTATAACAAAAAGAAAGACATCCTCATGGACCATTTGCCTAGAGCCTCATGGGCCCTTTAAACCCACCTCCAGGAAAGTTCCCCATATAGGCAGCAAAGCCAATAAAACTGATGCCTGGCATGTTATCAAATTGTTATCAAAATTTCCTGAAGTGAGTAGCCTTTGTTCTCACACGCTCTGCTTCCATTAACTGAAAATGCCCTCTGGTTTCCAATTCAGCTATAGTCTAACAGTCATTTGGCTTTTTCTTACTCTGCCCTGCCTTACCCTGCATTTGTTCTGTGGTCACTGGCCGCGAACCCTGAACTTCCACTCCTACCTTCCGTGTTAGGTGGTGGCCCATGCTCAGTGCCTTCAAATAGCCTCTTGTCCCCTATCCTGGGCTCTGATGCCATCACATGCCTTATTGTTATTATTGTTATTATTGTTATTATTATTATCATTATCATTAGTTAACATGGGTTTTTTCTGTTTAAAAACCAAAACAAAAAGTAGAGTATGCTAAACTAATCTTTAGGATCAGGTTGCAGCCAATTTTTCAGGAAGTTCAATGTTGAAAGCTGAAAACCTATCTCAGAAAAAATAAAGCTGTTCTGAGAGCAAGGTTTGGATTTTGAACTTTCACCCTTGTTATTTTTTATAATTAATATGAGTGTTTGTCACAATGCTGTCAGCAGGACCACATTTCCCTCTCTTGCCCAAGAGACCTCTTTAATAATTTATTCTTGGTTTGGGGAAGCTAAGGAAGCTCTTTCTCCATGGAGTGAGGAGAAATACTTAACAGAAAATCAGGGGAACCTTTTCCTTATTCCCCAGGAAGCATTTAAAGTTCACAAGAGAAGAGTTAGTTTCCCTTATTTGAATGACATCATGAAAAAATACAGATGAAAAAAGTGAATTCCTCAAAGAGGAGACACAAGTGGGAGCAGCAATAAGTAGCTAACTAGATATCTGGCCCAGTTAAGTAATATATAGTTACCAAACTTCATATAGGACTTCAGAAAACCAGGAAAGAGAAGCAGAAGACCAGCCCCACCCCAACATCTCTGAAGACCTTACCTCTATTAGGGCTGTATTATGCTCAAATATTTCCTGCAGGCCAAGGGGCAAACCTATGACATTCTTCTACACATTTAGCAAATATCTAGTGAATTTCTTTGTGGTTTGTTTAGAAAGATCCTAAGACAGAAGGATGTTAAAAATAGGACTCAAAATCAGTTGAGACTGAGGCCCTAAGTCAAAAATATCAAATATTATTATGTTCCAAATGGAGTTACTAGAACAATATTTGGAATGAGATGGTCAAAAACCCATTTTTCTACTTTTATTTTAGCACCCACTTTTTTTTTTTAATAAAGTCTTAGTTTGTTTTTAAGATTGGCATCTGAGCTAACATCTGTTGCCAATCTTCTTTTTTTTCATCCTCTTCTTCCCCAAGTCCCCCAGTACATAGTTGTATATTCTAGTTGTAGCTCCCTCCGGTTGTGCCATGTGGGATGTGCCTCAGCGTGGCCTGATGGGTGCCATGCCCACACCGAGGATCTGAACCAGCAAAACCCTGGGCCACCAAAGCAGAGCGCCTGAACTTAATCACTCCCACACCACCACGGGGCTGGCCCCTTAGCAGTCACTTTAAGTGATTACGGCTATGAAACCGGATATTTGAAAGAGAATTTCTTTTGAAAGAAGTTGTTCCAGTGCTCTGGCTGTTCCTCTCTCCCCTACTATGCAGAAGAGGGACTATTTCTCTCCTCAAGCTGAGCATGATGAAGAAAGATTCAAAAGATTTCTTTGCAGAGGTTGATACATGCCTCCAGATATGAGCAGCTGGAGATTGATGGGCCATGTGAAGAAACTGCAGGGGAGAGATCCCTGGCTGAGAGGAGATCTGCAGAGAACCTACAACTCTCCATTTTTTCCATCTGCCAATCCCAAAGGATGCAGACGTCAAACTAATCAAGTAAAACTTCTCCTGCTCCCTTCCTCTGCATGATCCTGGTGAAGCCAGAAAGACAGAGAACAGGAAAAGGGAGAAGAGGGAGAAAGGAAGGTGGGAGCATGAGAAGAAGCTGGCCCTGCCCCTCACCCTTCTGGCAGGTTCTGGACAGCAGCAGACCTCCCCTGGGGAAGGGGAGAACCTTTGCTATTAAAGAATGTTATTTGATACCTACACATATCTAGACGTACCATTGATGGAAATAAGATTATCTGGAGGACTAAAGTGACCCAAGATTTTTCTCCAGAGAAAGCAGAATAACTAGTCCCACAGTACGGATTAGAAGAAAAAGTGGAAACAAGACTACATTTGCTTTATAATTCACACTGGTAGTCTCATTTGTTCAATGTTCTGGTTATAAAAATAATTCTTCATGTTTTTCTCTCAGAATGAAATCTATGTTTTCCTATAAGCTAAGGAAGTGGTTTTAAGTTGTTTTTTTAAAATAATGTATATTTGACTAATAAAAATTCTCTACTCAAATCATTCTTTAATCTTTAAATTCCTCCAGGATTTTATAGTAGGAATCATATAAATTCAGATTTTTCAGCTGCTCAGAGGTCTCATCCAAGGAGTACATGAATTTCCTCCATAACTTCTGTAAAAGTAGTCACCTGGCCTCTGATTAAACACCTCCAGGTCCATGACTTCACGAGACATTTCAGTCTTTGTTGGAGAGTGTTTATTATGAAAAAGTCCTTCCTCGTATTAAAGGTAAAATCTAAGCATTCATCACTCTACTGTCTTGTCTGCTCAGCAAAGTACAGCCATCCTTCAATTCCCAGTTCAAATCCCTCTGAGATGCTTTTCCTGGTCCCCAAGAGTCAATTTGATTCCCCACTGTGTCTCCACTTGTGTCCCCACTGTGTCCCCAGTGCACCTCTTATTTGCATATACCATGCCGCTTAACACAGTGCGGGTCCTGTCTTGGTTTATATCACTGCCTCCTGCTCTAGACTGAGCAGCTGCTTCTTGCTAATCCACTGCAGAGGATTCCAAGATCACCAGACATGGTTCCTGCCCTCAAGTTGCATTAAGTCCACAAAACAGGTAAAGCAGGTACATTAGATGACCTTAAGATGAGCTAGAAGGAACTAACTGCCTCGGGGAGGTGCAGATTTCTGAAGGAGAAATATTATTTAGTTTTTTCTCTCTTGCTGTAGTACCCTTAATAGCCTCTTTTGTTCTCTCTTTGAGACTGTATTTTATATTCTGCACTTCAATTTACCAACAACTGGTATTTGATCTTACCAAAAAAGATTTTTTTTCCTGGCTTAAAGAACACTAAAACCTTAACATAGCTGATAGCATTTGAATTAGACATTCGAGGACAGGGAGCATATATAGACACCTAGTCAAATATTATTTTGAACCTCTAATATAAATCTTAAATATTAAATATCTGAGTACATGTTCCTCAGAGTTTTAGGGCATTTTAAATAAATATAGTCTATATGTACATATGTGGGGGTAAGAAGAAACTCCTCAAGTGCTCGAGGTTATTAGATAAAACCATAGAATTTTGGATTTGGGAGAAGCTCAACGTCCTCTTCATCAATATTTTTCATTTTACAGATGAGGCCCAGACGGCAGTGGGTGATGTCTTCAATTTCCAACCAAAGGGCCCTAAAGGAGCCAGAACGGATTTCCAGGTAAGTTTTCTTCCCATCAGAGCATGCTGTGTCCTATCTTGACCTCCATCTTGTTCTTGGATATGGAACCAAGACCTTAAATAGCTTTCAAATCCCTCAAAATATTCAAGCAAAAACAGTATTTATAATATAGAAAGTCAGGAACTGATAATCCCATCCATACTATTTTATTTTCAAATGTTTTCTTTTCTCTATTTCAGTAGGTATTCAGCAGACATTACTCTTTTCCAATGTATATTTACATGTACATTCTCCAGTATATATTTAGTGTTGAACCTTTAGAAGGCATGAGTTAAAACTTCCCATAGGAAATAATAGCCAATAAACCAGCTAGCTGTGTCCAGATAGTCGGGGTAGGCCCAGCTGAACTTGAAGCCTGCACAGTCATTGGAATTTGAATGTCGCCCTGTATCAACAAACTGAGCAAGATCCATGACTTCCTGCATGTGAGTTATTCCTAAAAACACCAAATGTTCCATTTTTCTCATGACTTCACACACCAAGAGGATTCAGGTAAGGCAAAACTTAATGCTTTGTGCAACTGCTGGAAATTTCCATCCTCTGTCTTGTGCCAATAATACTGTTTTATAATTATATTTTACGTAATGGTTTTTTTTAAGGGATTTGGAGGCAGATAAATGACTTCCTTTGAGGCCAGATGCCTTGTATTCACATCAAAAGGTTTGCCCCAATGCACCACCCCCCTAAGTTGTGTCTTTCCAGAGCCATGAAGCAGGGGACAAGTTATAAGTATAACATCAGATGGCTTATGATTTGTTTTAATAACCGGCAGTGGGATGCTTGTTATTCACATTAAACACATAATAGACATAGCAGGTGGTGCAGTTTTTATTCCTGATAGATCATAAGAGACTGAAATATAATGATGTCGTATTCTGTAGTACATTTCTCCTCAAGCCTTCTCTCCAGAATCACAGAAAATTCGTGTTACTGTGATTTAAAACACTGCATGGGCAGCTCTTTGCTTTTCTATTAAGTCAGTGTTAGAAGAAAACCGATTATGAATACATATTACTTTTTAAATGTTCTCCCTTGGCAAGGGTCTGGGTGGATGCTCTGGTTACCTAGGAGATGAAGACAAAATGAAAATTGATTGACTTGTCAAATTGATTGTGAGCTGAGGCTTCAAGTGGCAGCTGTGTATGCTGCACATGAAATGTAGCTGCTTAGAAGTGACTTGTTTTTTGGTCGCATCGGTAATGATGCCATATAAATTACTAGGTAGAATAAAGTGGTTATGTTTTATCAGAAAATGCAGTATCGAATGATTAACCTAATAATGACAGTTGGGAAAAAAGATATTTTAAAGAAGTAATTCTGGCCTGGATGTTTGTTTCAATGTGTCAATGAAAATGATTGCATTGAAGACAATAGAATTCTATTCATGGTAGAAGCCTTCTGCCTTGTTTTTTGGTAATAATAATGCTGCCTTCTGTTGGCTGAGATTGGGCTAATGGGAAGGAAACTTAGTGGCTCTTCTTGTAAAAGCAGCTATAACTTCCACACCCTCTATTCCTATATTCCTCAAGCAATTTTTCTATACAATTAGGCAGGACAAGCCATAGACAAAAAAAAAGAAGTTTCATTTTGTGAGCTCTCCTAGCTTCTCACTAATATCCTCTCTCTCTCCTCAAAATATCACCCCTCTTCCTCCAACTTTGTCATTTTGTGATGTCCCCTTACCATCCACAGCCCTCTACCATGGTCCACTCTGACAAACACCAATTTTTGGCACCACCCCACTATCAAAATTTACATGTCCGGTGTCTCATATTGGTCAGGGTATTGCTCCTATATAGCAATCCAGATGGAAATAATCTGTGAATTAAAATGTTACTAGGTTATACTAATCTAAGGAATTATTCCTCCAATCGTTATTTTTGTTGTGTTGCAGAAAGAGCCTTAAACCAAAAGAACGTACCTATAATGGAAGGCAGCCTCTCCTGGGAGACAAGTGGTCGTAGGAACCTTCTTTTTACTCCTCGGTTCACACCCTGTAGTCACCATAAAATTGCAACATTTGAGCCAGAACAATTTATCTCAGGAACTAATTGAAAACTAGACCAAGAAAAGAAGAAGTAAAAACAACTGGAATTTTCCCTCTCTCACTGTAAAAATAAATGTCATTCTCCCATGACCATGTGTGACTCCATGAGAACTTCCAGTTAATGCAGATGTTGCCAAATTTGCTACTAACTGGTGAAACGGAACAGGTAAATAACAAATCCCAGAGTGATGTAACTGGTGGAGTTGAAAAGCAGATAACATAATGTTAAGAATAGCAATTGTTCATGAAGTAATACTCTTGATATAATGAAGAAAGACATTTAAAGGGACAATAAAGTAAAATGCTGAGTTTAAGGAAAGAAAAACACTCACTTTACTGATGGACATAAAATAAGAGTTGAAAAATGTAGTGGTAGGCATTTTTCTGGATAAGAAGTGTCTATATTATAAATAATTCAGTTTTATACAAATTAATCTATAAATTTAACACAATTACAATCAAAATCCGAATGAGTTTTTCTTTGGAACTAGAGTATAGGACTCGATTTCACCTCAAAATTTGTGAAGACAAAGACTAATAAGGAAGAGCTTTCCCTATAAGATATAAAAATGTACTATAAAGTTATAATAAATAGTGCAATATTTCTACCAAACTAGATAACTTATTAATAGAATGGACAAACTCAAATATATCATGTAAGGATCTAAGCATCTAGTAAGTGGTTATGCAATTATTACAAATTAGTGGAAAATCGATGTGAAAGTAAATAGATTAGATTTCCTCAAAAGAAATTGTTATATTCATATTTCCAATTTTATTCCAAAAGTAAATTACAACTTAAAGTATAAATGGAAAAAAACTATAAACTAGAAATAAATCTAAGGGTCTATTGATACAAATTAGGACAGGGAAAGCCTTTCTATACATAATACATAAGGCAAAACCCATAAAGAAAAAGACTAGTGTGACTGCATAAAAATTAAGTTTTTTAAATTAAAAAAGCTTCACATGGCAAAAGCGAAAATAAGTGAGTGAGACTACAACAAACTAAAAAGCTTCTGCATAGCAAAGGAAACCATCAACAAAATATAAAAGCAACCTATGGAATGGGAGAAAATATTTGCAAACCATATATCTGAAAAAGAGTTACTATCCAAAATATACAAGGAACTCCTACAACTCAATAGCAAAAACAAATAAACAGATGAAAAAACAGTTCAAGGACCTCAAGAGACATTTTTCCAAAGAAGACATACAAATGGACAACAGGTGGATGAAAAGATGCTCAACATCACTCATTATTAGGCAAATACAAATCAAAACCACGAGACATCCCCTCACACCTGTAAGGATGTCTGTTATTGAAAAGACAGGAAATAACAAATGTTGGAGAAGACGTGGAGAAAAGGGAACCTTTGTACATTGTTGGTGCAGATGTATACTGGTACAGACACTATGCAAAAAAAGTATGAAGGCTTCTCAAAAAATTAAAAGTAGAATGACCATATGATCCAACAATCCACTTCTGGGTATAGAGCCAAAGGAAATGAAATCACTATCTCAAGAGATATCTGCACTCCCGTGTTCACTGCAGCATCATTCATAATAGCCAAGAGATGGAAACAACCTCAGTATCTGTAGATGCATGAAAGGATAAAGAAAATGTTATAAACACACACACATACACACACACGTACACACACACACTGGAATATTATTCGGTCATAAAAAAGAAGGAAATCTTGCCATTTGTGACAACATGGATGAAATGAACCTGCATGACATTATGCTAAGTAAAATAAGCCAGACAGAGAAAGACAAACACTGTATGGTATCACTTATATGTGGAATCTAATTTAAAAAAAAGTTGAACTCACAGAAACAGAAAGTAGAATGATAGTAGCCAGGGGCTGGGGATAGAGGAAATGAGGAAAGGTTGGCCAAGGGGTACAAACTTTCAGCTATAAGATGAGTAAGTTCTAAGGAGCTAATGTACAGTATTGTGAGTTAATAATACTGTACATTGTACATACTGTATAATACTGTACATTGTACAGTTAATACTGTATTGTATACTTGAAATTTGCTACGAGAATAAATCTTCAGCAGTCTCACAACACACACACAAAAATAACTGTAAAGTGATGAATGTGTTAATTAACTTGATTGTGGGAATCATTTCACAATGTATACATCTATCAAATCATCACATTGTACATGTGAAATATATTATAATTTTATTTGTCAATTATACCTTGATAAAGCTAGAAAAAAACAAAATACAAAAAATGAGTCAAGAACACAAAGCAAAAGAGAATTCATATGCAAAACACAAACAACTGAATGGAAAATATTTTAATTATTTTTTATAAGGGGCTAATACTATTATTATATAAAGAGTTCTTATAAAATATAGCAAAAAAGTTCCAATGAAAAAGTGAGCAGGGGCCAGCCTGGTGGTGCAGTGGTTAAGTCCAGGCACTCCCTCTTGGCAGCACAGGGTTCATGGGTTCGGATCCCGGGTGTGGACCTACACATTGCTCATCAAGCCATGCGGTGGCAGCATCCCACATACAAAACAGAGAAAGACTGGCACAGATGTTAGCTCAGGGCCAATCTTCCTCACAAAAAAAAAAAGTGGGTGAATAAAATAAGCCAGCAATTCATAAGATATGAAACGCAAATTGGCATTTAACATATGAAATAATTTCAATTAGTAGTAAAGGAAATACAAATTAAGCAACAATTAAGATATTATAACTTATCTATCCAATTAACAAAGATGAAAAATTAATGACAAGATGCAGTTTGAGTGAAGATGTGGGGAAATGAACTATCTCAAGCCCTGCAGAAGTTGTATAAACTGCTACAAGAATTCTGGAGGAAAATTTACAATTTTTACCTAAAACGTTAAATATGTATACACCCCATAACTAGGAAATATCATTTTTAGAAGTGTATCCCAAATAAATAACCAGATAAATTCATAAGATATATGTATGAGGATATTTATTAAGACATTTAAGACAATGTAAAGCAAAAATGTTGTAAATGCCCTAAAATTAGAAACTTTGTTAAATGACACATAGTATATCGACACAATAGAATATTATGAAACCACTAAAAAAGTTAATACTGATTGTATGGTTATAGTCCTGGAAAGATATTTATGACATATTTGAGGTTAAAAATAATGCAGCTTAAATGGCATCTTTTTTAAAGATAAAAAGAAACAATTCTAAAATTCATGTCGAACCACAAAGGACACCAAATTGCCAAATCAGTCTTGAGAAGGAAGAACAAAGCTGGAGGCATCACATTGCCTGATTCCAAACTATATTGCAAAGCTACAGTAATTAAAACAGTATTGTACTGGCATAAAGACACATATATTCTATGGAACAGAATTGAGAGCCCAGAAATAAACTTATATGTATATGGTCAACTAATCTTCAATAGGGTGCCAAGTACACACAATGGGGAAAGGATGGTCTCCAACAAATGATGTTGGAAAAAGTGGATATCCACATGAAAAAGAATGAAACTGAACACTTATTTTACACTATACGTAAAAATCAACTCAAAATGGATAAGGCACTTAAACGTAAGACCTAAAATGGTAAAACTCCTAGAATGAAACATGGGGGAAAATCTTCATGACATTTGTTTTGGCAATGACATCTTGGATATGACATCAAAAAGTATAAGCAACAAAAGCAAAATAGACAAGTGGGACTACATCAAACGACACATTCCACTTGTTATCTGTTTATGATTAAATGTTGAGAAACTTGTATATCATTCATGCCACAAAGCAAACTCAGTCCTTCTCAACTTTTGCTTTCTTTATAAAAACGTTTTATGGAAACCCTTTAGATGTTTTTAAATACACATAGGATTCAAATTAGCTGATTAGTGAAAGATCTGGGGGTCAGAGTGGCCTAAACTGGATAATCCCCTCTCCTCACAAAGTAATTCAGAGATACAGCTCTTCTCGTGGGGAGGTAGCATGCCAGGAAACACTCACATACTTTCAATATACCTGAGTTGAAAAAAAACAAAGTGGTCTGTTTTAAAATATTTGTCAGGAACTCAAGAAGTGAAATCCTGATTTGTTTCTCCCTCTGATGTGATGTGGAATTACTGAAATTTCTTTCTAAAGTAAAACAGTGAAAACTACCTTCATATCAACCAGCATGGGAGGTATATAATATCATTCTTAAATATTAAGAATTAGAAAAATCTCTACAAAAACTAATAATAAAAAACCCCAAAGAAATACATGGACCTGTGTCAGATGAACACATCTGTCTTTACAATTTGGTTTTTATAAATTTTTATTTAATTTTTCTTCTTTCACAGTTAGTTGGCTAGTAAATAACAGGACCATTATGTGAAATTTTATTAATCTTCTACTCCTTTAGCCTTCCCCAAGATTTCTGTACTAGGTGTAATAAAAATACATTGCAAGTAGGTAAGTTGCTTAGCCACTCAGAAAAAAGATGTTCAGTATGAGGTAAAGCTGCATAAACTCTAACCTGAATTACTTCCATCAGACTCTCTTTACCTATCTATCACACATGCTTTTCTCAAACTCACAGCATTGTGTATACACAACTTTGTAAATGTTTGATTTATTGTTCCTTTCTTTTCCCCAGAGCTCAGCTGACTTTGTTATTTCTGTTGGCACTTCTAGGTGCCTTGAGACAACTGACATTTGCAAGACTTAACCTGAGCCCCCCAGCTACAAAAGCTTGGAGGCCTCAGCTGTCACTTCGGTTTCCACGGAAACTCAAATCAGATTGCCAAAAAGGAGGTTAGTCACTTAAAAATTATATTTTTTTAAAAGAAAGAAATACTGCCCACCAGCATCATATTATTTGAAACAGTGCTTTGTTGAAAGCCGTTTTCTTGTTTTTAAGGATTAAATATCTGTTTCCATGGTAGCAGATTAATAAACTCTGAAGACAGAGCTGAGCTCTGAAAGTTCCTTCTGGCAGCACCTACACATTCAGAGCCTATTGTGCCCATGAGCCACATGCAGTCTGGGGCTCCAAATGCATGTTTTCAAGCAGTAATAAAGAATAACTACTTTGTTTCTATTCATATATGTTTCCCATAGATGGAATACA